GCTCTTGAGCAATGCTTTCTCACAGCACCATGAAGCTGACCCACCACCTTAACTCCAAAGGTCAAAAAAGGAGGAACAACAGGTATCTGTTATTCTGTCTGCCTAAAACACAGTTTTCTGAGCACATGTGCTTGGGCTACTACTCATAATATCCCTCTTCCTGGCCAGCCAAAGGAGAGGGCACACGAGGAAGCTGAGCTTTGCTCTCCTCAAAAGTTTTTTTACTTTTTTTCTTTTTAAAGAATTGCTTACTTAATTTTATTTTTTTATTATGAGGTTGTTGGGAAAGTTATAACATGTTTTTGTATAGACTTAATTTTATTTTTAAAATTGTTGCTATAGGGCACGCATGTGCACTCATCAGAGAGAGACAGAGACACAGAGAGTCACAGAAAGTGAGAAAGCAAGCCACAAGGTTTGGGACTTGAACCACGGTCAGCTGTGTGGGAGTTCAGTGCCTTAACCACCATGCCACCTTCTGGCCACTCCTCTAAAGTTTCTGGTTAGATTAGGGAGAAATTGGACAGTCACAGTAACTGTACTCAGAGTAGAAAGCTGTTAGTCTGGAAAATTCTTCATCACATGAAAACAGCTGGTCTGTGGGAGAATAAAACACACACCAGAAATGCAGAGTAGAGCAAGGCATTTGCGGCAGTGTTCACGTCCCTTGTTCCAGAACTTCTCAAGTCCCTGATACATCTCTGCTCTTCTCGCTGTTGTGTTATGTGAGAAAATGAAGCTCCTTTAGGCTTCACCTTGTTTTAATCAGGCGTCGATGCCCTACACCAAGAGGGGCCCCTAGTGCAAAAGTAGAGCCTGAAGCAAAAGGATCCACCATTCCTAGAAAAACAAGCCAGTTATGTGTGCATGTATACTCAACACCCCACGGAATAGAGAAACAGAAGTGTGACCACTATAAAGTAAGGAAAGGGCACAAACAACAGGGTCAAATCATGCACATAGCATTAAAGGTTTTTCTGAGAATAACACTAGGAGTAGAGGCTCTCTTGGATGTAAAGAATAGTATTTCAGCATGCATTAATACAAGCAAAGGCATACATTCCAGCATTTCTAAATTTTCTTTCTCATAATTTACCCACTTTAACGATATCATTATAAAATTATGGCAGTAAATGACCTACAAAGGTCACTGAAGTCCATGATATCAGCAATTCTTTTATAACAGAAAAGATAAAAAAGGAAGGATTGAATTAATTTTCTTATGCACAGGATTGTTCACAGGATAAAGAATATCTTTCACTTTAAATTACTAATCTGAATGCAGACTCAGGCCAATAATTGAAAATGCTGTGAAAAGAATTTTTGACACTGCAATAGCACCATGTTTAAAGCATAAAAGAATAAATTTAGAAATTATGTCTCAGTTCATAAACTGATATTCTAAGAATAGACCATACCGTGAGACCATAATAGTATACATATTTCACAATAAATTTGATCACTACTTGAGTATGTACTTAAATCCTTCTTGGATAAAGAATAAAGTCCAGAACAAAAAAAAATTTTTAGAGGTTTTTGCCATAGGGTGTGTATGAACAAAGAGATAGATAGAAACAGGGAGAGGGA